ATATTTAAAACTATTATATTTTTATAAATTAAAAATAAGTTTAAAATGATAATTTTTAATCCCTTAACTTTTAATATATACATATTTTTTGTCCATCCATTTAAATTAAAGGATTAAAAATGTGTGTATTTAAAAAAACTTAATGGAGTAATTAATAGAAAGACTAAAAAAATATGAAAAATGGATTAAAAAAGTATATAAAAAAACTAAAAGATAAAAATTATATAAAATATCAAAATTGAGAACTAACAATGAAATTTGCCCTTTTGAAATTTGAATTGATTTGAATTGTAGCGGGCAACTAAAAAAATGGAAGATAAGACAGCTGCACGCAAGAACAGATGAGGATTTTGCGCGATCAAAATTGCAGGGTTGGCCAAAACGACGTCATTTTGGCTAGGAAATCTTTTTTTTTTTTTTTAATTCTTGCATATTATACCGGTTAAATTTCGGTGTATTGGTGGGTATGTTAAAATTTCGACCGATACATCAAAATTTGACCAAAATTATCGAACTTTAACTGAAACGAAGTTCATTCTTATTCCGTTTCAATCTACTCTAAAAACAAATACGTAGCGACCGTACCGACTGGTACGAAACGATATTTACTTCTTTGGGCAAAACTGTTCCCATAGTTGATAATTTTGTGACAAAAATCTTAGGGTGGACTTCATGGAAAGGTCTAGAATTGTTATACCCTATTCTATTCCTTCTCCTTTTGAGTATGTTCACACAATATAAAACATTTCCGATGAGAGAAAAGATGTCTATAATGTTCCACTCCTTTAATTAATTAAAAATAGTTTTCCATAAAATTGAAAGTTCTATTGAAATTTGCTTTTTGTAACAGTTTTGTTTAAGTAGAATTTTTATAGATATAAAATAATCATAAAAAAGTTTAAAAATTGAAAAAAAAAATTAATTAAATTCATAAATTTAACAAGAAAATATCTATTTTAAGAAGTAATAAGCATATATTTTGGAACTTAAACTTCTAAGGGCGTGTTTGGTATATCCCTTGCCCGGATTAGGAATTTGGGAAAGATTTGCTTTGTAAAATATGCACATTTGTGAGGGAAAAAACAATCTGTGACCCAAGCATATACATAAGCATTTACTTTGCAACATAATAGCTTATGTTGTCCGGATTGATTTTCCCAAAAAATGAAAAAAATGCAATAAAGTGATGCCTCTGGGTTTCAGAATCAATTATAATAGTACATAATGGATTACTTCTCCGTGTAATCAATTATACACATTTTTTGTCGATTTTTTTTTTACTTTTGTGCAATAACTTTTACCTTTAAAAGCCAAACCATAATAATAATAATTCTCAAGCTACTCAAAAAAAGAACAAAATATCAATTTAGTCCCTCAAGTTTTAAATTTGTACTAAATTTATCTCTTAACTTCAAAAAGTATTAAAATTGTCATTAAATTTTAATTTTTAATATAAAAAAGTCATCTTGTTAACAGAAATGTCATATTACTTCTATTTTGTCACAAAATTAGTTTTTTTTATTAAAATACTAAAGATATATAAAATCAAATAGTTTTATTTTGTCATTGTAATATATTTTTATTTACATATCAAATTGATATATAATCAAAATTGCAAAATTAAATTGATATTTGTAATCACAATTCAAGCACTAAACTAATACTTGCTTTCAAAGTTTAATGACTAAATTGGTATTATTTTTAAAGATTGAGAACTATTTTGATACCGAAAATTAAAGTTTAAAGATAATTTTAATACTTTTTGAAGTTAAAGAATAATTTCAGTACAAATCTCAAAGTTAAAGGACTGCATTGGCATTTAACCCAATAAAAACTAACCTTCGAAAAAGGACTTACCAAATATGCCCTTTTTTAGAAGCTAAAAGTAACTTTAAAAAAATTAATAATTTTTTTTAAAATTATATTTGATTCAATTTTAATTTTTACTCAGCAAAGAACTTCTCTAAAGCTAGCTAAATAGGTGCTATAACTTGAATGGTTTGAAATCATCAGGACTTTCAATTGGGTGCTTCTCTGAGGCATATTTATCATCGTCTTCATTCAAGAGATTACTTTCCCACATTGGTTGGGTAACTTAGAAAGATGAGGCATTCATTTTCTAAAATGAAATCATGACCCCTTTGTTTTCCTTTAGCTCATGTCATTTCTTAAAATCTTGAATTAAATCTGATAACAGTATACGCACTCTCTTCTAACAAGTTGACTGCTAAAATGGAATATTTCGGAGACCAGTTGTAAGTTGTCTTCAACGGTATGGCCTGTGGATACTTGGCATAAGCAGCTGTGGAACCAAGGATCAGTAAGGTAGGAGCCGTAGCGCTCTTTTTATTTTTAAATTTGAGTTTAAACTACTATTTATGTCAGTATTATAAAAAGATTAAGAGTATGGTCTTTAACTTTTATTTTTCCTATAATTTTATGTTTTCCTCTTTATTTTTCTTTTTATTTTAGAATCTACCATGGGTATAGTGGTGCGGTGACTGGGCATCAGTGACATCACATGAGAAACTAAGACAATATTGTTTGGTTTAACTTAACTATTAGAAAATAGTTGATTTTCGTTTTCACTCTATTGCATTTATTGGGTAATGCATTGGATGCCTTTTTGTACATGCTTGATATTGGTAGGTTCTCACATGGTATAAATTGATTAATTAACTTGACATTGGTAAATTTTTTTTTTCCTTTGGTGGTTTGACATTGGTAGGTTCTCACCTGAGGTAACATAATATCACATTTATTAAAGAGAAACAATCTACTGTGCATATATTTTGCGGAACGTCATAGTTATATGTGTGTCTCAAGAAATGCAAGCATGGCAACCCGCAGCCCAAACATCACCATCTGATACATGCTCTTCCAGGGGAGCGACTTAAGTACTACACCTCCACGGCAACGGACAAATAGCATCCCAACCTGTTTAATATAGAGCCAAAAATGATATTATAAATTTACAATCATAATATTATTATATATGTTTTTATTTTAAATTTATTTATAATATTTTATAGATTTATTTATTTAAAAATACAATTAATATAAATTACAATCATAATACATCATTATATAATTATCATTATTTCTCTCATTACTTTCACAAAAATCAAACATAAAAAATCAAAAATCGATAAAAGTAAAGCCCATAAATCTAAACCAAAAATTTCAGTTTTTTCGTTTATTGTCCCCATCTGAATGGATTTTTCAGTTTCTCTAATATTTTTTTAAATATCCGACGACACTTCGTGAACCAAAACACCCCCTTCTCTCAGCAAAGTCGTGATTTAGGTCGATTTTAAACGAGTTTACGATTTTACCACGATTCCACAGCGAGTTCATAGGTTTTTTTGATTCCATCTCGATATATAACTCGTTTCCTAACTTAAAATCGTGAAATCTTACGTTTTCACGCTTTAAATCCTGTCTTTGATGACAATGATAGTGTCTGTGCAGCAATGCCTTTACTACGCCAAGAAGGAAACCAACCCATTCTAGTAGACCCCTGACGATATCAACAAAACAAACAATCAATAAAAGGAATGTACAGTTCATATTCACATGGGCCAATAACTTGGCACGGAATCCATTGCTTGATCAACATTCACATGGG